CAGTGTCAGTAGTTTATGTTTAACAGTTAATAGGATCTGCTGCACCCTGACCAGACAGTGCCCAAGAATTTTACTGAAGGCACTGGCCCCTGTATTTTATGTGGGGTGATACCATAACCCTTTTTTTTTTTTTTTTTTTTTTGAGACGGAGTCTCACTGTGTCACCCAGGCTGGGGTGCACTGGTGTGATCTTGGCTCACTGCAAGCTCCGCCTCCCGGGTTCACGCCATTCTCCTGCCTCAGCCTCCCAAGTAGCTGGGACCACAGGCGCCCACCACCACGCCCAGCTCATTTTTTGTATTTTTAGTAGAGACAGGGTTTCACCATGTTAGCCAGGATGGTCTCGATCTCCCGACCTTGTGATCCGCCTGCCTCAGCCTCCCAAAGTGCTGGGATTACAGGCATGAGCCACCACGCCTGGCCTCATAACCATTATTTTTATTTATTTATTTATTTTTGAGACAGAATCTCGCTCTGTCGCCCAGGCTGGAGTGCAGTGGTGCAATCTCTGCTCACTGCAAACTCAGCCTCCTGGGTTCACGCCATTCTCCTGCCTCAGCCTCCTGAGTTGCTGAGACTACAGGCGCCTGCCACCACGCCTGGCTAATTTTTCATATTTTTTTTTTCTAGGTAGACACAAAGTTTCACCGTGTTTGCCAGGATGGTCTCGGTCTCCTGACCTCATGATCCGTCCCCCTTGGCCTCCCAAAGTGCCGGGATTACAGGCATGAGCCATCGCACCCGGCCATCACCGTTATTTTTCAGCTGGGTTATGATGGTGTGTGAATGTGAACAGCTTATTCAGAAGGAACCTTTTAACAGGAGGTCATCAATACAATGCCGTAAATGACAGTGTGGAAGAGATGCCTCATCCAGGTCTTGTCTGCAGAGGTTTGGGGCACTGGCTGGGCTATTGGGGACCTCGCTGGAAGCTGAGTAAAGGGATATTGTGTTCCTTTGAAAATGAAGGCAAATTGTGGTTGAGACTCCTCAGTAATAGGTATAGAATAAAACATATTGGCCAAACCAAGGACCACAAAGTGTGCACCTGGGACCATTGGAATATCTTCAATAATTTGTTATCTTAGTTAGAGGGGCCTTTGTTGGAGAAACTTGGGCATGTAAGTTTCAGTAATTAATAAGTAAGCGCCACTCTTTGGAACTAATTTAGGGTACAGGCTAGACTATGCTGTTAAAGGGAGAGAGAGTGGTTTTGTAACCTTAGCCTCTAGCATGTTTTTAATGACTGGGCACAGGCCAGCACACCTTGTTTTAAGGGATATTGAGGGGTGTGCACCGTCTTTACTGGACGTGGCAAGCGGACGGGTTCCCAGTGGGCAGCTGCAACCAGAAGGGCCGGTGACTTAGGTTTGTTCCAGGAGCATGAGGGCACCCACTCCCATGATGGAAGAAGAGAGAGCCCGTGGGTGGCAGATGTTTAATAAAAGTAGTGCCAATGGAGGCATCTAAAGGGTCGTGAGGGGCCAGGCGCGGTGGCTCATGCCTGTAATCCTAGCACTTTAAGAGGCCAAAGCAGGCAGATCACTTGAGACCAGGAGTTCGAGACCAGCCCGGCCAGCATGGTAAAACCCCGTCTCTACTAAAAATACAAAAATTAGCCGGGTGTGGCTGTGGGCACCTGTAATCCTAGCTACTCGGGAGGCTGAGGTGGGAGGATTGCTTGAGCCTGGAAAGTCATGCCAAGATCATGCCATTGTACCCCAGCCTGGGCAACAGAGCAAGACTGTCTTAAACAAAATAAAATAGGCTGGGTGCGGCGGCTCACACCTGTAATCCCAGCACTTTGGGAGGCTGAGGCAGGTGGATCATCTGAGGTCAGGAATTCAAGACCAGCCTGGCCAACATGGTGAAACCCCATCTCTACTAAAAATACAAAAAAGTTAGCCATGCATAGTGGCAGGCGCCTGTAATCCCAGCTACTTGGGAGGCTGAGGCAGAAGAATCGCTTGAACCTGGGAGCCGGAGGTTGCAGTGAGCTGAGATTGTGCCACTGCACTTCAACCTGGGCAACAAGAACAAAAAAAAAAAAAACTCTGTCTCAAAAAATAATAATAATAAAATAGGCCGGGCACGGTGGCTCACGTCTGTAATCCCAGCACTTTGGGAGGCCGAGGCGGATGGATCATCTGAGGTCGGGAGTTCAAGACCAGCCTGACCAACATGGAGAAACCCTATCTCTACTAAAAATAAAAAAATTAGCCGGGCATGGTGGCGCATGCCTTTAATCCCAGCTACTTGGGAGGCTGAGGCAGGAGAATCACTTGAACCCGAGAGGTAGAAGTTGCGGTGAGCTGAGATTGTGCCATTGCACTCCAGCCTGGGCAACAAGAGTGAAACTCTGTCTCAAAAATAAATAAAATAAAATAAATAAATAAGTAAAATAAAATGAAGGTGAACTCCCGAGGGTTTGTTCGTGATTCCCTTTATTTTAAAAGCTTTCCCTTTTTACATTTTGTAGGCTCCTCAGAAACTGCTGTGACTTGGGTCCCCTTATAAAGTACTGAAAGTTTTTCTTGCCCCAATTAATAGAGTAGTAAAAGGCAATTGTCCCCTCAGAGTGGGACAGTCCCTGGAGGACCACCAAGTCCCCAGGCTAAGGGATGAGGAGGCTGCCATTCTCTCAAGTCGGGAAAGGAGGGAGGGTATTAGTTCCGTGAGAACAGGCTGTCGAGGGTCCTCAGCCTTCAGAAATGCGGCCGCATGAGCCCAGATGCTTATTTTCTGGTTGCCCCATGATGAGGGCGTTGGGCACAGCCACCCATCTTGGGGGCCCATGAGGGTCTGGTTCTTAGTCCTGGGATTTGGGGAAGTTTCCAGGTGCTTAGGGAAAATAATGGTGAGGCCTGGGTCCCACTGTGGGGGGCCAGGGTCAGTCGAAGTCAGGCTGGGGGCCCTCAGCAGGTGACTGCTGAGCACCAGGGAGCAGCTGCCCATGTCTCGCCTTTGCACGTGTCTTGTCCAGAGCTGCCATGTGACTGAGGGGAGCCTCTTCAGGACTGGAGACAGTCCCAGGGTCCCCCGGCAGTGACATTCAAAGAGACAACAGACCCCTCGCACTGTCTGCTGTCACTCAGCAGGAGGTGGGTGTGGTCTCCAGGGCCCCTCCACAGTGAACTCTGGCTGTTGTCACTGGTGGGTGGTTGAGTCCGGGCCTTGCCTTGAGTATCCACAGCAGGGAGCCTCCGAGTGCGCCCGTCGTCCCCACCCGGTGAGGCTTCCTCATCAGTGGTTTTTCTGATTCGTGGGCATGGGATTGGCCACATTGAGGGACAGATGTGGGGGATCTGGGCCAGTGTCCTGGAGGAATTTAGTACACATTTCTGTGGGAGTGAGCACTAACTCTGACCCGGTGCTAAATGCCCTGAGTCAGCCCCCTTTTCACTCTGTCAGTGCAAAATCTTTTTTTTTTTTTTTGAGACGGAATCTCACTCTGTCACCCACGCTGCAGTGCAATGATGCGATCTCAGCTCACTGCAACCTCTGCCTCCCGGGTTCAAGCAATTCTCCCACCTCAGCCTCCCAAGTAGCTGGGATTACAGGCGCACTCCACTACCGGCCAGCTAATTTTTGTATTTTCAGTAGAGATGGGGTTTTACCATGTTGGCCAGGATGGTCTCAAACTCCTGACCTCAGATGATCCACCCTCCTTGGCCTCCCAAAGTGCTGGGATTACAGGCATGAGCCACCGTGCCTGGCCAGTGTAAAATCTCTTTTTTTTTTTTAAACAGAGTCTCGCTCTGTCCCCAGGCTGGAGTGCAGTGGTGCGATCTCAGCTCACTGCAAGCTCCGCCTCCCTGGTTCAAATGATTCTCCCACCTCAGCCTCCCGAGTAGCTGAAATTACAGGCACCCACCACCACACCCAGCTAATTTTTGTATTTTTAGTAGAGACGGGGTTTCTCCATGTTGGTCAGGCTGGTCTCGAACTCCTGACCCCAGGTAATCCACCCACCTTGGCCTCCCAGAGTGCTGGGATTACAAGCGTGAGCCACTGCACCCAGCCTGCAAAATCCCTTAAGGCAAATTTGAATTTTCTACCATAGAGGAATTTTGGTCTCCAGTTCTAATTCCCCCGTCCCCTGTGATTTTGACATTTTTTAGATTATTGCCAGATGAATCTGAGGGTGACCTCTGTGTGTCCCTACCTCGCAGGCAGCACCTCCCTCTCCAGGGTGTCCCAGCGGCCTCTGTGGGACCAGGGTCAGCACCCACCAGCGCCTTCATTTTCTGGTGTCAGGGTCAGCCCCAGGCCTCAGGACCACAGGACCAGCGGCACCAAGTACAGCCCATGCTGTTGCTGTGAGCCTTGCACTCATCTAAGAGCTGGATGGCGGCCTCCAGCGTCCGGTGGGGCAGGGACTGGGTGCTCAGGGCATTTGCTTTTGCCCACCAGTCCATGCCAGGGATTAGACCCGTGAAACCCCCTGGAGTTGGGGGACAGGGCCGACAGGCACAGGGACAAAGCATGGATATTTGCAAGGGGTCATGGCCAGCCCTGCAGGGATCGCCCATGGTCTGGGTCTGCAGTAGACCTGGATACCTGTGAATGCCGCGGGAGGTGTCCATATAGCCAGGAGCTCCCCTCAGCTCAGCACTGGGACAAAGGAAAACACCAGGCAGGTGTGGCATGGGACGGTCCCAACAGAGGGACCGTGGTCTGAGCGGGTGCCTCCTCGGTCAGGATTTCGGAAATACAGAGCCACCCTTACCCGCCCAACAGCCATTTAGGGTGCACAGTTTAGGCATCTGGCACGTACAGCCTAAAATTCTGCCGGCTGCCGGCTGTGGGACCGACCCTAGCGGCATCTCTGTTCCCAGATGTAGTTATCCCCACTGGCAGTGACTTTAGTCAGCCAGGCGCAGCTGAAAGGCATCTCGCGCTCCATCCCAGCCACTGTGATAGCTGTTCCAGGGTTTTTCTTTTATTCTTTTTTCCTTTTGTTTCTCTTGAGAAAACCTCTTCAGTGATCAGACACAAGATGGAAAATAAGGATTTTCTTTCTTACAGGTCTTGGGGGTACATGGCACGCCTGAAGGCCACATGGAGGTCGGCGTGAGGAGAGAGGATGGAGGGCGAGGATCTGGGGCATCTGCCTCTCCTGGGTTCCAGGGTGTGGGTGGAAGCCCAGGTGGAGAAGAGGGGTTGCAGGGTTTGGAGCAAACACGTGCAAGGAGGGCTCCTGCTCCGCAGTCAGTCCAGGTTTTGCGTCCAGTCAAGCAGCTGTGTGCAGGTGGGCTTGGAGCGGTGGCCTCTGACCCGCAGGGACTAAGAGGGAGGGGTAGGGAACTCAGGTCAGGCGGCTGCCAGAGGCCTCATGGCAGTCGGAGCTCATGTCAAAGAGGATAATGCATGTGGAGGCAGCTCAGAAACAGGCCTGCTGCACTGGGTCTATTTTAGAGGTGGGGTCTCAACATCTTGCCCAGGCAGTTCTCAAACGTTTGGCCTCAAGCGATCCTCCCACTTCAGCCTCTCAAAGTGCTAGGATTACAGGCATGAGCCACCACAGCCGACTTAAGTAATATTTTATCAACATTTTTGTTTTGTTTTGTTTTGAGATGGAGTCTCGCTCTGTTGCCCAGGCTGGAGTGCAGGGGCACGATCTTAGCTCATTACAACCTCTGCCTCCCGGGTTCAAGCGATTCTCCTGCCTCAGCCTCCCATGTAGCTGGGACTACAGGCACCTGCCACCACGCCCGGCTAATTTTTGTATTTTTAGTAGAGACAGGGTTTCTCCATGTTGGCCAGGCTGCTCTCGAACTCCTGACCTCAGATGATCCACCCGCCTCAGCCTCCCAAAGTGCTGGGATTACAGGTGTGAGCCATGCAGCCTGGCCTTTATCAACAATTTATTACATATAAGTGAATTATTACTGCTGCCAGTATTAAGTTACCTACTGTGGTTTGTGTTTGAGGTCTGATAGGTTCTAACGCTCAGTCTAATGTAATTGGCCAACTCATCTTTTTCCTATGACTTGTCAATCATGCATAGGTTTTGGATTATCTAGAATTGATGTACAGCACTTTTCCCCCAGTGTGTTACGGAAGATTTCAGACATACACCACATTTGGAAGAACTTTATGGTGAAGACTCATACACCCACCACCGAGGTTCTGTGTTAACATTTACCATGCCACTATCCCTCTACCAGACCCACCATCTACTTTGTTTTTGCTTTTGAAGTAAATTGCAAGGCTGGGCACAGTGGCTCACACCTGTAATCCCAACACTTTGGGAGGCTGAGGTGGGCAGATCACTTGAGGCCAGGAGTTTGACACAAGCCTGGCCAACATGGTAAACCCCGTCTTTACAAAAAAATTTAAAAATTAGCCAGGCGTGGTGGCACATGCCTATAGTCCCAGCTACTCAGGAGGCTGAGGCATGAGAATCACTTGAACCTGGGGGGCAGAGGTTGCAGTGAGTTGAGATCGCATCATCGCACTCCAGCCTGGGTGACAGAGAAAGATTCTGTCTAAAAAAAAAAAAAATTCAGCTGTCAGGACATGTCCTTTATTGAATTTAATTTTATTTTTAATTTTAAAATTATTGGGCTGGGTGTGGTGACTGACGCCTGTAATCCTAGCACTTTGGGAGGCAAGGTGGGTGGATCACCTGAGGTCAGGAGTTTGAGACTTGCCTGGCCAGCATGGTGAAACCCTGTCTCTACTGAAAATACAAAAATCAGCAGGGTGTGATGGCTCACTCCTGTAATCCCAGTTCCTCAGGAGGCTGAGGCGGGAGAGTTGCTTGAACCTGGGAGGCAGAGGTTGCTGTGAGCAGAAATCACACCACTGCACTCCAGCCTGGGTGACAGAGCAAGACTCTGTCTCAAAATGCATACATACATACATAAAATAACCAAGAAGCAGCACTAACAGGACACTTCCTTTAAATACATATGTGTCATTGATTGAAGATCAGTGTTTGTTTACAGTTTTTTCTTTTGAAGTGAAAATTATATAAATGAAGTGCACAAATCTTAAGTGTGAATTTGCTGAGTTTTAACAAATAGACACACTTGTGTAAACCAAATCTCTATCAAGATATATAATGTTATTGTTGCCCAGAAAGTTCCATCGGTACGCAGTACACCATTGAGGAAACACACTTTTGTAGCTGGAGGAAGACAAAGAACTGCATAGTTTTGTGAAACTATGGTTCTGATAGCCACTGTTTGTGGTCATTTTGACTAAAAGTGTTGATTGGGATATTCTAAACTTGCAGGGGAGCAAGGCTCCTGTGTGTGGTTCGTGCCAGACTTAGACCGGGAAACAAGGTGGCCTTAGGTCGTGGCCCAGGCATCCCACGGATGATGTCAGTGTAGTGAACCCTAACGTCATGGGGTTTCATCGGTGCTCTGGACATCATCTGGAAGCACTGAAGTCCTGTTGGGGCAGTTGGAAGAGAGTCCGCCCTCAGTCTTAATCCCATGTGGCGACACGGTGCCCGAGGTGCTGCTGTCTCCTCTCATGGGGGTAGTTCCCACGACCGTCACTGGGTGTCTGAATCGCGTGAGGTTTCTTTTTTTTTTTTGAGACGGAATTTCACTCTTGTTGCTCAGGCTGGAGTGCAATGGCACCATCTTGGCTCACCACAACCACCGCCTCCCAGGTTCAAGCGATTCTCCTGCCTCAGCCTCCCTAGTAGCTGGGATTACAGGCATGAGCCACCATGCCCAGCTAATTTTGTATTTTTAGTAGAGATGGGGTTTCTCCATGTTGGTCAGGCTGGTCTCCAACTCCCGACCTCAGGTGATCCGCCTGCCTCGGCCTCCCAAAGTGCTGGAATTACAGGCATGAGCCACCACGCCCGGCCTCGCATGAAGAGATCTTGAGTAAGATCTTGTCAGCCAGATGGGAAAAGATGATTCTGTTTTTGTTTGTTCGCCTTTGAAGGGGCAGTGGTGAGCACAGGTGCCCTGCTTTAGAAGTTCTGAGTGTGTGTTGTACAAGAAGGAGGTTAGTGATGGGCGCCCCTGGGAGCCACAGGCTCTGGTCCCGTCCTCCCCTACCACGGTGTCTGACCTGGCCCGGCAGGCGTCTCTGGCAGTACCTCCATGTGGACTTTGAATCCAGGCTGACTTTCAGTCGTGTTTGTTGGGGATTCCTTGCCAGGGCCCTGCCCCTGGGACGCCTTGTCGCGGCATCACATGCTGTGCTTTCCGTGGCTGTCTTACGCGGGAGGCCTCTGGGAGGCAGCAGAGCCCACCCTTGCTGCTCTTTGTCCAGGGATTGGTGCTCTGGGCCCCACGCCTGGAGGGTCCTTTAGGCCAGGTGGATAAAGCATGGCCTCTCCACTTACCTGTTTGTTTTCTGAGTTCTCTTTTGGCAGCTTTCAGCCGATTCTGGTGATGTATGAAGGGAGGGGCACTGCTGGGCCTGCCATACAGCTGCACAGTGAGCGAGCGGCCGCGAGGTGGTGGGTGAGGGCACTCCCTCCTGGGAACCCCGCCAGCCCTGCCTGCAATGTTGAGAAACTGTTACAGTGGAACATTTTTATCTGAGTAGTCACAAAAAACACATGTAACTTGTTGATAGCCTGATGAGAGATGTTTCGGTTTTGGTTTCTCAGAGACAGGGTCCCACTCTGCTGCCCAGGCTGGAGTGCAGAGGTGCGGTCTGAGCTCACTGCAGCCTCCACCTCCTGGGCTCAAGCGTTCCTCTCATTTCAGCCTCCCAAAGTGCCAGAACTACAGGCATGAGCCACCAGGCCCGGCCGAAGAGATCTATTCTTAAGCGTCCTGTTACATTGATAGGAGACACTGGGGAGGACCCTGGCATTTAAAAGGAATCTTACATGCTTGCTAAAGGGCACTACGCATAGAGAAAACGACATAAAACTTTTCTTCATTTTTTTCCCAATTTTTCTTTTGACTTTTATAACCAGGAGCTTTAGGAGTGAACTCGTATTTTTAAATTTTAATATGAATATAGGTCAGGCACACTTCATTTTCTTCCACTTCATTTTGTTGTGCTTTGCAGATACTGCTGCCTTTTTTTTCCCCCCTGTAGACGGAGTCTCGCTCTTGTCGCCCAGGCTGGAGTGCAATGGCACGATCTTAGCTCACTGCAACCTCCGCCTCCCGGGTTCAGATTTTCCTGCCTCAGCCTCCCAAGTCGCTGGGATTACAGGCGCGCACCACCATGCGTGGCTAATTTTGTATTTTTAGTAGGGACAGGGTTTTACCATGTTGGCCAGGATGGTCTCCAACTTGTGACCTCGGGTGATCCGCCCCCCGGGCCTCCCAGAGTATTGGGATTACAGGTGCGAGCCACTGCGCCTGGCCAACATTTTTTACAAATTGAAGTTTTGTGACAACCTTGTGTTGAGCAAGTCTTGTCAGTGCCATTTTCAACAGCACATACTCACTTCTGTCTTTGTGTCACATTTTGATAATCATTGCAGTATTCCAAACCTTTTTATTATATCCATTATGGTGCTCTGTGATCTTTGATCTTTAATGTTGCTACTGTAATTGTTTCAGGCACCATGAACTCTGCCTGTATGAGATGGTGAGTTTAATCAATGAATGGTGGGTGTCCTGACCCACTGAGCAGCCATTCCCTACCTCTCTCCCTCTCCTAGGGCCTCCATATTCCCTGAGACTCAGCAATATTGAAACTAGGCCAATTAATAACCCTGCAATGGCCTATAAGCGTTCAAATGAAAGGAAGAGTCACACGCCTCTCACTTTATTGCAAATGCTAGAAATGATCAAGCTTAGTAAGGAAGGCGTGGTGAAAGTTGAGACAGGCCAAAACCCAGGCCTTTTGCATCTGTTAGCTAAATTGTGAATGCAAAGCAAAACTTCTTCAGGCGTGGTGGCTCAAGCCTGTAGTCCCAGCTTCTCAGGAGGCTGAGATGGGAAGATCGCTTGAGCCCAGGAGTTTGAGGCTGCAGTGAGCTATGATCACACCACTACACTCCAGCCTGGGTGACAGAGTGAGACCCTGTCTCAAAAAGATAATAACAATAAAAAGAAAAGTTCTTGGAGGAAATTGGGAGTGCTATTCTGGTGAACATAGGAATGACAAGACAGTACAGCAGCCTTATTGCTGATATGGAGACAGTTTCAGTCCCCCTGAAACTGACTGGATAGAAGATCAAACCAGACACATTCCCTTAAGCCAAAGCATCGCCTCTAGAGCCAGACCCGAACTCTCTTCAATTCTGTGAAAGCTGAGAGGGGTAAGGAAGCTGCAGAAGAAAACCTTGAAGCTAGCAGAGGTTGGTTCATGAGGGTTAAGGAAAGAAACAGTCTCCATAACAAAAGCACAAGGTGAAGCAGCCACTGCTGATGGAGAAACTGTGTCAAGTTGTCCAGAAGACCTAGCTAAGATGATTGATGAAGGTGGCTACACTGAATAATAGATTTTCAGTGTAGACAAAACAGCCTTCTATTGCAAGAAGATGCCATCTAGGACTTTCATAGCTAGAGAGAAGGCAATGCCTGGCTTCAAAGCTTCAAAGGACAGGCTGGCTCTCTTGTTAGGGACTATGTACACACATTATATTGTTTACTGAATGTTCACAAATCAGACGCAGCCATAGAACCAGCACAGATTAGGAAACAAAGCATGATCAGCTCTACAGAAGCCTAGTGGTGTCCCTGCCAGGCACTACTGCCCCAGGGATAATCACTGAGTTTTGCTTGGTTTTGAACTTTTTATAAATGGAATTTTGCAGCATACAGTCTTTCATGTTTGGGTTCTTTCACTAAAAAAAATGCTTTTTTCAGAGACAGGGTCTCACTCTGTTGCCCATACTGGAGTGCAGTGGCACAATCATAACTGACTGTAATGTCAAATTCCTGGGCTCAGGTTTTCCTCCCACCTCAGCCTCCTGAGTAAGGGGGACTACAGGTGTGCACCACCATGCCTGGCTAAGTTTTATTTGTTTTTAATTTTTTTTATTTTTTGGAGATGGAGTCTTGCTCTGTCGCCCAGGCTGGAGTGCAGTGGAGTGATCTCAGCTCACTGCAAGCTCTGCCTCCCGGGTTCACGCCATTCTCCTGCCTCAGCCTTCCTTCCAAGTAGTTGGGACTACAGGCGCCACCACCACGCCCAGCTAACTTTTTGTATTTTTAGTAGAGACAGGGTTTTACCGTGTTAGCCAGGATAGTCTTGATCTCCTGACATCGTGATCCGCCCTCCTCAGCCTCCCAAAGTGCTGGGATTACAGGTGTGAGTCACCACGCTCGGCCCATGCCCGGCTGTTTTCTAGTAGTCTTTATTATTATTATTATTATTTATTAATATTATTTTGAGACAGAGTCTCACTGTGTCGCCCAGGCTGAAGTACAATGGCACGATCTTGGCTCACTGCAACCTCCGCCTCCTGGTTCAAGTGATTCTCCTGCCTCAGCCTACCAAGTAGCTGGGACTACAGGCGCGCGCCACCACGCTTGGCTCATTTTTACATATTTTTTAGTAGAGAAGGGGTTTCGCCATGCTGGCCAGGCTGGTCTTGAACTTCTGGCCTCAAGTCATCTGCCCACCTGTGCCTCCCAAAGTGCTGGGATAACAGACATGAGCCACTGTGCCCGGCCTGATTTTCTAATACTATACTAACTTTGCATTCTTTTTTTTTTTTTTTTTTTTTCTTGAGACAGAGCCTCGCTGTTGCCCAGGCTGGTGTGCAGTGGCATGATAGCTCACTGCAACCTCTGCCTCCTGGGTGTTCACATGTCCGTGTGAAGACATCACCAAACAGGCTTTGTGTGAGCAACATGGCTGTTTATTTCACCTGGGTGCAGGCGGGCTGAGTCCGAAAAAGGAGTCAGCAAAGGGTGGTGGGATTATCATTGGTTCTTATAGGTTTTGGGATAGGCAGTGAAGTTAAGAGCAAGGTTTTGGGGGTAGGGGGGTGGATGTCACAAAGTACATTCTCAAGGGTGGGGAAAATTATAAAGAACCTTCTTAAGGGTGGGGGAGATTACAAAGTACATTGATCAGTTAGGGTGGGGCAGAAACAAATCACAATGGTGGAATGTCATCAGTTAAGGCTATTTTCACTTCTGTGGATCTTCAGTGGCTTCAGGCCATCTGGATGTGTACATGCAGGTCACAGGGATATGATGGCTTAGCTTGACACTGGGTTCAGGCAATTCTCCTGTGTCAGACTCCCAAGTAGTTGGGACTACAGGTGAGGATCATCACGCCCAGCTAATTTTTGTATTTTTGGTAGAAATGGGGTTTCACCATGTTGGCCAGGTTGGTCTCAAACTCCTGGCCTCAAGTGATCTGCCCTCCTGGGCCTCCCAAAGTGCTGGGATTATAGGTGTGAGCCACCACGTCCAGCCTAACTTTGCATTCTTGAAATAAACCCACTTGTTGATGTGTTATCCTTGTTACATATATGACAGGATTAGCTTCTGAATATTTTGTTTAGGGATTTTACATCCATCACTGTGGATGAGATTGGCCTTCAATTTTGTTTTCTCATACTGTTGTCAAATTTTGGTATCAAAGATGAATTAACCTCACATACATTGTTGGACATGTAGCATCTCTTTCTGTCTTCTGGATGTAACTAATAATGTAATAATAAAATGTAAATAATAAAACAGAATGAACAAATAACCAAAATGAAAAAGGAGCCACCACCTAGATATTTCAGACTATAATAAAAAGATATTTTGGGCCGGGTGCAGTGGCTTACACCTGTAATCCCATCACTTTGGGAGGCTGAAGCAGGAGGATTGCTTGAGGTCAGGAGTTGGAGACAAGCCTGGCAACATAGTGAGACCTTGTCTCTACAAAAAAATAAGGAATTAGCCAGACTACAGGTATGCACACCTGTAGTCCCAGCTACCCGGGAGCCTGAAGTGGGAAGAGCACTTGATCCCAGGAGTTCAAGGCTGCAGTGAGCTATGGTCACAACACTGTACTCTACCCTGGAAACGAGCAAGCACGGTGGCTCACGCCTGTAATCCCAGCACTTTGGGAGGCCGAGGCGGGTGGATTGCCTGAGCTCAGGAGTTTGCAACCAGCCTAGGCAACACGGTGAAACCCCGTCTCTACTAAAATTACAAAAAATTAGCCGAGCGTGGTGGTGAGCATCTGTAATCCCAGCTACTCAGGAGGCTGAGGCAGGAGAATCGCTTGAACCCAGGAGGCGGAGGTTGCAGTGAGCTGAGATCGTGCCATTGCACTCCAGTCTGGGCAATAAGAGTGAAACTCTGTCTCAAAAAAAAAAAAAAAGAAAGAAAGAAAAAGAAAAAAGGTGGTGGTGGTTGGGGGGAGATATTTTGAGCACATTTATACCAAATAGATAAAATGTATAAATATCCTAGAAAAATACAATTTATCAAAACTGACACAAGAAAAGGTTAATACATAATTATTTAAGTGCTAAATAAATTGACTCATAATTTAAAACCCTTCCTCAGAAAAAATGCCAAGCCCAGATGGCTTCACCAACTTGTACTAAACAGTTAAGGAAGAAATAGCAACTATCTTACATATATATGTTCAATAAAAGTTGGTTTATGCTGTGCATATAATTTTAGAACCTGATTCTTCACTTTGTAATATAAGCTTTTCATTTAATTATATATCTTTCTATTATAATAGTGGTAGAATTGTATTCCATTATGTGAATAGTCTTTACTGGGTTTAAATAACCCCATTTTTGG